GTATGCTAGAGTAAACAATGTTACCGTCTAAAAAGACACTGACTCAAGTTATCATCAAGCTTTACACAATATCAAAGTCGCTAAAGCAATTAGCTGCTACAGAATATCAACCACCATAATTAGAAAGACAACTGAAACCTGCAGGAGCAGAAACAGAGAGGGTTAACTTCTGTGGAATGTCCAACACATTTATTACTTGACTCATTCTGGAGGCCAAGTACATTTTTCCTTACGCTTTCCCCCCAGCATTTTCTTGCTAGTGATATTTTTTATATTAAACAGATACTGTATATATGGTCCGTTACTAAAAGCTGATTAAAGACCATAAAGCACAATTCTCCTGTAGGCTAGGTACAGACATTCAAAAAGCCTGAGGCAAAATCCAAATTATGCGGGGTTTTTTGTAAGTGACATAATTTTAGATTAGTAGTGACCAGAACAGACATTTGCCCTTTGGGAGAGGGGGCAAATCTTAGACTGGGTTCCACCATTTTTAAACCAGTCTGTGTGTGCCAAACTTCTGTTCTGTTTTGGGTATAGACTGGTTTTGTGTGCTGAACTTCTGTTCTGTTACTGGTATCAACTGGTTTCTGATCACTTATTCCAGTAAAAATCTAATGTCTGTACCTAGCCTTAGTGTACTCTTGAGTACATTTCAGCACTCTTCCTGGACAATTTCAGGGCTAGTTCAACTTCTCGAGAAGGAAGACACTTCTAAAGCATTAGAATATCTATATATTGATGTAATAGTGCAGCTTATTTGTTTTTGTCATCTTTGTTTATTCATCCCATCCAAAATGTAATTAGCAATTGTGCAGCAAGGTAGATTCAGAGGCTACTTGCAGATGTTAAAAAAAAAACAAAAAAACCACGCTTTACTGGAAGAAGAAGTGCATTACTTTAACCCAGCTCTGCAGTACCTGTATAGATCAGGCACTTCAGCGGGGCTTTTTGGCACTTATCTAAAGCTGATCAATCAGCTATTAAATAAAAGTGCCAAAAAAGCCCCACTAAAGAGCTTAATCTATACCAGGGGTGTGCAGTTATTTCAGGTGAAGGGCTGCTTACTGAGTTTTGGTAAGCCATTGAGGCCCGCATGACAGGCAGCCAAGGGCAGATAAATATAAATTTTCTAAATTTTTTAGGGGCTCCATGGGCTGGATGGAACGGCTTGGCAGGGCGTATCCAGCCCACAGGCCACATTTTGCCCACCTCTGGTCTATACAGACGTCAGGTGAGCCGGGTCCAAATAACACACTGCCTTTTCTGGGCATGCACTGGGCTTGGTGTGGGAATGTGCCGAGTTTAAAGTAAAGCACCATTTGTTTGTTTTTTTTAACTTCTACAAGCAGCCACAGTGCATTTTTCAAATGAGAATAGTGGAATAATACATCTCATAAGAATACCTTTACTATTTAGGCAGCGTCTTTCCTGACTCATGCATTTTTTCCTTATATTCTCTGCATTTTATTATACTTTCCAAGGTTTTTAATTCTTATAAAGTCTACTTGTTTATGCCCAAGTATCTCCACCTTCAATTGATGAATTTCTTTTCACGTTAAGTGCTATGGCCTCTGTGGGATTTTTTCCCCCACCATGACTTTTAGGCACATTTGCTAAGTGAAAGCCTGAGCATAGCCCTCTCCAAATCCCTTCAGTTCACTAGGCCATAGTAATGAATCACACTAATGCTGTGAGAATGTCCTCCAGTCTTACTAGTCCTTCCACTCCATCCCTGTGCAGATGGAAGTCTGCATCAGTGGATACAGGCTGTGACTAAGAAGTGAACAGTGCCCTCCCTATACCACTTATATAGGAGATGCAGGGTGAGGAAGCCAGCCAAGTCTGCAAGGAGTCTCACCATCCCAACATTACATAAAAACTAGAGACTGAGGCTATACTAGTACTTGCATTGGTTCCATTCCTTCTGTCAGATCTTCCCCCTGTAGGGGATAGCCCCTGGGCAAACTCCAGACTGCAGTTCTTTGTGACAACAGGGATTGGACCAAAGCCCTGAAGAGCTAAACGCCCACAGCATCCCACTTGTCCAATGACCTACACAGGTATCCTAAGAGAACAGAGCAAATTTAGATGATTTCACAGCCGTTTCACTGGAATGCATTAGCATTTGTTTCTCTTTCACCTGTTTAACCTTTATGCACACTGAATAATTTCACAGTATGACACTCTGCACCTCCTTTCTTCATCTACATCTCATTTGGCTGCTTTTGTTTCTGTATTACTTTTATGGAAAGAACTATTGTAAAGAATTGTGATGGCTTCTGAGCTGAAAGTGTGAAAGCACTGCCTGAAGCACTGAAAATGTCACAGGCCTATGCAGTATGATAGGATTGGGCAGTTATCTGAACACCCACTACACACACTGTGCGACAGCTAACAAACAAGGCTTGAGCCTACTATCTAAAAATTACCTTTTATGTTCTTCAGTTGCTAAAATCCATTCACTATTTTTTGCAGATTTCTGAATTCAGCATTTCTGAAAAAAAAGAAAAAGAAAAAATAATTATATTTGAGCTGAAGATTTATTACATAGTCATGAAAAGTGTTTTTACATGCATTTATAACATACAACAATAAGTACCATTTCTTTGATGAGTATATCTGGTTTATAAAGGACAATAATATTAATTTTAATACAACACATTTGTTCTGAAAGCAAAAAATAAGTGTATAATCCTCAATGATTGAAGAAAATAGTGGCAGTCATCAATGCCAATTATAAAGAAAGAGACAGACCACTGGCAGTGAAAGGACAATGTACCTGGAATATCAGATCAATGTATAATCCAAGGGTCCAATTTTCCATTTAAGTGATTGTTGAAGAATTCCACTCAACAGGAGCAGCAACAAGTGGCCAAGCCTTAATTTAGTCTCCAAATGTAACTATAGGTCTAGCTCAGTTTTATAGTGTAGAAGGAAGAACACAATGAATTACTTCGTTTAGAAGTATATTAAAATGACAAATAAGAATTAACAGCTGCTAAGTCCCAGTCAGATGGAACCCACTGTTAATCAAGTGCAGTCACTGCCAAAGAGACATCTAGAGCAGGGACTCTCTAAATCTTTTATGACATGGGCTATAATATATTGCATCTTCCTTCTTGAGCCCCCTCCTTGTTCTCTGGTATGTGCTTCTCAGAAAATTTAATTCTGCATATGGTAAAGGCTGGAGACCAGAGCTGCTCCTTGGACCATTGCTTTAGAAAGATCAGTCTCGAGTAAAACTACCCCACAGACTTGATGGGGTTAGGGTTCTGCCTGTAGGGTAAAGTCAGTTCAGGCAGCAGAGACCACTTCTCCTTTGAAATTATATTTAAGATGCCTTGTGCTGAGTAGTAAACTCTGTCCACAAAGATCCTGTTGAGTAAAGGAACAGTTGTACTGATGTTAGCAATATTTAGCTGGTCCATTAATGAAACTACACAAGGGTAAAATCATATCCCCACTGAAGTCATTGTATTTTTTGCCACTGGGCAGGAGTTCACCCCAAATATTTACATTTTTCAGTAGACCTCTGCTTTTCTGTCATTATGAGAGCCTGGACGAATTTGTGGAAGAGGCCCTCAGAAAAGCTGGGTTCAATCCCCTTATATTTAGAGAGATGCCAAAAAGCAGCCCATTGCAGCTGATGGTACCCAGCAGTTTGGGCGGGGGGGGGGGAAATCAGGGAAGGTTATTTGAAGCCTAAATCCAGGCTCAAGAGCTTAGTCTTCATGTCACCAGTTTTGAATGGTTGACTAGAAAAGTATAAGTATATGTGAATAAGAAGAAATAGGGGCCTGATCCTGCAGCTTTTAATTGGGCAAAACTGCTATTGTAGCCAACAAGAGAATTTTAAGTTGTGTAAAAAAAATCACACACTTAGATTCACTGATTGTTCTGGCTTGGCTCGGGTTGCTGTTTTACTGTGCTGTTTACAGTCCTGGATTTTGATCAACAATGGATCGTTTGAGAAGGAAATTTAGTTTTACAGGTGCAGACTGCAGAGTACGCTATGCAATACTTCAAGAGCAGCATCCAGTATTCTTTATTTCTAGGAAAAGTGCCATTTGGTTGGACTACAGTCCTTATACATTATGGCAACAACTACATTCTTTTTCAAGAAACCACTGGAGAATAACTTTGATTTGACTAGCGCACTGTATGGCAGAAACAATGGCTTGCCATAACAGTCTCAAGAAGTTAATATTAGTTTTTTTTACCCGATTACCTTGCTGCAAGTTTTCAAATAAAATTCAAACAAAAGGCTCTTAGTTTCATTTATGATGTCCCTGATTTCACATCTTTTTTAATATAAAATTGTACACATAGCACAATATACAGCGGTTTATGGCTCTACTGTGTCAGTTTAGGATTCAGAGCATGTTTTTCCCCCTACATTCTTCTTTATGCCAAGGCAGGAGCATTGGCTGATGAATATTTTCCCTCCAACTTCCAAATGCATCACCTTGTGCTGATCTTCCCTATACGCTATTCACGTGCAGATTTCAAATGCTGTCTGGGGATACCTGTTATTATTTTAATCACTTAAGGAAACCACCCACAGATCCTTGGGCTGCAAAGACTCCAACAGCTACAAAGGTAGCAACAATTAAAGGCACAGCCATCCTCTGGATTTTGAGTTACCTAAGCCCTGCAACTACAAAACATGTGCATTATTGCCCTGTCCTGTCCGCCCCAAGATGTAATTTAAAAAAAGTGGGTGGTGTTTTAGCTCCAACCTCTGTTAGCATTGGAGTTATGCAAGGAGTATGCTATAAAGGAGTTACAGTTCATTCCCTCCTGCATGCTTATGCACACACCAAAATTTATATTTTGTTTGCTTGTTTCCTTTCACACCATATCCTCAGCTTGGCCACTCACAGGTCCCCATCCTCCACTCCCTGCACCAGCTAAAATATGCCTTAGAAAGTGCACTACAAGTCAGACTGCCTGACCAAACAGATGCGGGGGTTCACTTTGGAACTGAAAGTGCCATTCGGCAAGTAGCATCACTCAAGGCTCGGTGAAGTAGAAAATCATCTTGTGTCTCTTACTCCAGTCTATATTACATTGTGGAAACAACCTAAATAGCCTCCCCTACCTGCAGAGATTAATTCTATCTGGATAGCATAGCTTCCTCAAAACAGTCAACTTTTACTAACACTACTGCTGGTGTTCTAAGGCGGTCTTCATATCCTCCACTACTGGGACAAATGCATCTCGCTAACCAAATCAAGGGCAAACTATTCTGCAACTCCAGATGCCAAGGTGAAGGCAATTTAAACTAAAAACTACTGCACTTCCGTGCTAAAGCAGAAGCTGCTAGGAGATGGAGCAATGACACTCTCCATTCTTTGGTTCCAAAAACTGGAAAGAAAACACATCATGATATAAGGGCATAAGCACATGATGTGTTCCAACAATGCCAAACAGCAAAGTGCAGAAGCCCTTCCCATGAATGACCCAGAAGCCTAAAGTTTCAGAAGTGACTAATAACTTTAATGTGCCCTACCTGAGGTGCTGGAATGGTTAGCCTCTTTTCCCAAAGGGGCCAACCACCCAACCTCTGAAAATCCTACCCTTCCCAGAGCACATCTACATATGCACTTTACTGTGCAGACTAATTTGCTGTACAGTAAAAAAAAAAAAAAAAAAGCATCGCTGTCTACATGTGCATGGCAATTAGGCCGGTGTAGACTAATTTACTGCAGTTGGATAGTCCTGTCAGACACACCTATTATTCAACACCAGAAAAAATTACTGCATTTAAATGCCCATGTAGACAGTGACATCTGGATTAGTTTACTCTGGCTCAAATTGTGCCAGAGTTTGTTCAGTCGAATTAATTACATGTATAGACATGCCCCCCCCCCCGGTGTCTCAAGTTAGACAGTCAAAAATCTCTTTTACAATTTTACTCCCATTCAAATTAATAAGTGAACACGCAGGATGAAGAGTATGAGAGTGATGTTACACAACAAGGTAGTCTATCCATGTCTGAGGGATGCAGTTCACTTTTAATCAGGAGATGTTGTAACACTTATGGTTGGTCTCGTATATAATGGACTCTAGCCCAGGGATGTAATCATTAGGGTTTGCACCTTGGGCAGCAGTGGGCATCATTCATGCACCCACTCTAACTGGGTATTCCAGGGCTGGTGCCCCAGTTACCCACCCCTTGTTATATTACTGCTCCAGCCCATAACACAAGAACCTCTGCAGTTACAAGTTGAGGGGACTTAATGGCACTGGAAACTGAAATACTTTCTCTAGGATGAAAACCAATCAGGACACAGCACAAGGAAGTTCCCACTCTCACTGCCCTGTCTGTGCTGGCCTGGTGGACATCAAGAAAACTTCTCCCAACTAGAACTAATGCACATACACAGTGTATGCTTTCCAAGCACCCCAAATTACCATTCTCCACTGTGAAACTCTTTTTGATGCCGGTGATTAAAAGTTAAAAATTATAATTTGTAATGCAGCTGAAACCAGAGCCTCGCTCTTCTAAGGACACGATGAGAGATGGCCCCTGCCCTGAAGTGCTTACCATCTATGTAGGCAAGACAGGGAAGGAACAAAAGGTGAAATAAATTTCCTGGAGTCAAACAGGAAGTCAATGGCAGAGCCAAAGATAAATCCCAGTTCCCCCATCAGTACCCTGTCCACAAGGCCATTCAGACTCTCTAGTATTAAACTGATCAACTTCTAACAAGCTTTATCAACAACCAAGAACCAAGATGAAATCAAATTATGTCTCCATAACACTATAACCAGCTCTCTTAATACCTCAACATGGATGAAAACTGGTTGCAATTCCTTCCTGCAACATTCCTGTTTATTTTGTAGTAGCTCTTCAAACTGGGCTAAATTTTAAAGTGAAAAGTAATAGGTTCTGTGGGTGAACAAAACCTCAAGGGGTCAGATTTTCAAGAGTGCTCAGCTCCCACACAAGGGGCTGTGTTCACAAGACTGCTTTCATCTCCCATTTGAGCCAAGGCTATACAGGGTTTTCTGACAATACAAGATGGATTAAGACCTATGACACTGCACTGCTCTGGTTGCAGCAAGCCTCCCTTTCAGACTTCTTACTAATGAACGTGCGTAACGGAAAAAAATTGCCTTCTCACCACACGTAACATAGCCTTCTCTCCCCCTCCTGCCTTCCAAAGGGAGGCATTAGGACTTTCTGTAGTCATTACAGATGTCCATTTCATTAGCTTCTTCTTTAGTTGCTACTTTCAATAATGAAAACCACTGCAAAAAAAAAAAAAAAAAAAATCTTTTCTCCACCATGTGTTTACAACTTTTAAGAAATGGACAAATTAGGTATGCACAAATATCAAAGTAAATGGGCCATTTTATCTTATGTTCTAAAATTTTAATAGGATTTTGCACTGTAAAATCTACAGTTCCATTTGCACGGCAAAAACTCCTAAGTCACTCAGACATAAGCGTTTTACATACCTAAAATATTAACACACAGATAGTGAT